CTGCGCCTTCGCAGAGATATTTCCATTTCGGGACAATTGTAATCGTTTCCTTGTCCAACATAAAATAAGATTGCAAGCCCTCGGAGACCTCAATTTGCAATGTAGCGATTAAATGCTAGACCGATACAAGACGCTTTTAGATTCTTCTGTTGCATGGAGGTAATTTTCAAAGGTCTGCTGAAGCATTCCATGGCCTTTGCAAATTATATCACCGTTTGTTCTCTGCCTTGCTGCTTCAAACACTTGAATGACCACACCGCTGCCACATCTCGACGTGCCTTTCTTCACTCACAGCTGATATCGTTGCAACCAGTCGGGGCTTTGTATATAGCGATGGAGTTCTCCCGCTCCCAGCTGCTTTTTCAAAGCGTAGCGTTTTTACAGTGATCGATTCGAGAAGAAAACAACCAGTGGAAGAAAACGCTCCGAGTAAGATCATTCCATGCCCCCTAAAACCCCTTTGCGACAATATAAAATGTGGGTGGGAATAATAGATCACTCGTTCGGTCTAACCAATAATTTAAAGTCAAACCCCCCCTCGCTCAGGCAATTCGTAGGCATCCTTCCTTGAACAAAAACAGTCCTCAGTCCCCTAGCCCACTCTTGCAGCTTTTTGGTATGTAGCAAGGGTGTTGCCCTCAAAAGTGGTAGTTCTTATGCCTCTCTGGTTTTCCCGCCCACCTAAACTCCAAAGTTGTTTCTTGTCGAGAAATCAGGGTTGTTTCGCGTTTTTCGTTTTTATTTCCCTGAAATGGTATCAAAACTGGATGGCGCTAAGAAACGATCAGTGAGCCACAGGCGTCGGAGAACTCGTCCAAAGAGGCTGCCAGTTCCTTACTTAGGATTTTCGCCATTTTTTTGCTTTTTTCTTCCCTGGAGGTTCCTAAATTAACACCCCTATCCACAGTATACAATCGCGGTGTTTGTCTTTAATCTGTATCAGCACACAAAAAAAACTGACTCGAACACACGAATGAATACATGGAGGACTTCTGATGAAGCCGAACGATCTATACAACACCGGAATCGGAAGTCGAATACCACGGGAACATGGACCTGCACATATATGAACATATAAATAAATACTACACAATGGCGAAAACCTCATATTAGCAACATCAGGGAAAATCATCAGCCATAGGAACAATTCAGGCCTAAGAAGCAGAACTAGCAGAATTCGGATTTGAAACAAGCGATGAGGTGTGGTTTCTGTAGATCAGTGTGAACGATGTTATTCTATTACTAAATTGTAAATCAATCAATAGGGCGTAATGTAAGTTGTAAATGTAATTCGCCATTGACAAGGAGGGGAGAGTCTTCGGTGAGCAAGTCGTTGATTTCCACTTTTCGATCGATGTCCAGTTCGCTTGAGTACCTGAAAGATGAATGCTTGGGACTTCTAAAATTAGAGAGGCTGTGTCCTTATGCGGAACATCAGTGGAGGATCAAAGACAAAGTGGGCAGCCGTGGGCGAGTACGCCATGCATTCCTTCCCCAGTCAGGTTCATGATTGAGATTTTTCTCGTACAAGTAGTTCAGTCTACAGTCGCACCTTTAGTAAGGGCAACTTATGCTATTGACCTGTATTTCGTATAGGTTCATCCCTATATTCAATTTAGCAATTAACGCACCTCGTTTTTGTAAAGTTCTTCTTGCTGGAAAATGATCGCAATACTCGTTTCTCGTCCACAATCGACAGCATGTATTCGATCGACCTGCTAAGAATCCTCATACAGCGCATGATTTCGAAAGCCATAACCTTATCAATGAAATATTCGTGATATGAAT